TTCCTGCCCTGATTCATCTACATGCCTCCAGCCTGTCCTGGAAGGAGAGGGGAATTCCATCTCGGAACACAATGACGGTCTCTCTGTCTTTCAGGAAACTTAATTAGAGGGAAAGTCCCTCTATACCTCCTGCCCCCCACCTCACTCCACCCATACTGGGACCACTGCTTCCTCCTAACAGGTGCTATCCTGGCACTGGCGGTGGGGCAGAAGGTTGATAATGCTACATCCTTGCCACCTTGGCTGTTGTAAGCCATATAGACCAGCGTAGAGGCAAGGCAATAACCAGGGAGAATATTACCTTGCAACAGGAAAAGCAGAGCCAGAAGGAGGCAATCCATCGTGGGCGGCTTTCCCAGCTCTTGACGTTCCTCAGTGAGAGACTTCGACCCTGAGAGAGAGAATCACACAACAGCAGAGTGAGTTTGTCTAGAGAACTGCAGGAATTTTTCACAGCTCAGGGCCTGGAACAGACAGAAAAGCCTGTAGTTCTTTCTGCATCGGCATGGCCTGAGTTGAGCTACCACGCGAGGTGTGGGACACCTGCAAATGCCAGGAATTGTGTTCCTGTGAGTACCAGAGAGAAGACAGAATGGTAGCTCTTGTGGGGAAATAGAACGGGGGGGCCTTCTTTTTAATAGCCAAAGCTTTGAATCTGAAGGCCCCAAAATAAACCCTCCAACAGAGATCTGTTATGCTAACTACCCTTACACAAAGCAGTACAGGCCTAGGCCTGAGCAAGACGGAACAACACAGTTCTCTGCCAAACTCGGTCAAGGGTCATGACCAGAGGAGGGAGGGAGGAGGAAGTAACAGTGGTAAAGGCCTCGGCAACCTAATAACCGCAAGTTTATGAAATATAATAACCGCTTGTATGAAGAAATTGCTTTTGCAAATGCCAACTTCTCCTGTGATTCCAGCTATCTGCAAAATTAGCCAATCATGTATCCTCTTTGAGCGTCCTATGTTAACCCCCTTGTGCCCATAACCGTAAAGCCCCGGAAAATAATATGTACCCTGACGAAAAATAGCCCTAAAGTGGTGCCAAGTACCACCCCTGGGGAAAACCACCAAGCGCCCCCATACCAAAATAAAACACCCAATTCTCAGAAAATAATGAGGAAGGTGCCAGGAAGGGGGAACGGACCCCAACCCCAATTTCTTAACTCATGACGTATTGTTTGTACTGTGCTTGCGGTTTAACGAAATAAAGGCAGCCTGCGTGCTGACCTAGGTGTGTCAGTCTTCGGACTGCACCCCAGTGCACGGGTATGTATGTCAAAAAACTGGCCTCAGGCTTGAGTCTGTAAACTAAAATCAATGCGTGGGTGTCTTTGACCACGACACTCTATCCGTGCAAGAAGGCTGGACACAACTGTTCTATTGTCATCTGCCACTAGAGCAGTGGTGGGCAACCTGTGGCCCGTCAGGGTAATCCGCTGGTGGGCTGCAAGACAGTTTGTTTACATTGACTGTCCGCAGACACGGCTGCCCACAGCTCCCAGTGGCTGCGGTTCGCTGTTCCCGGGCAATAGGAGCTGCGGGAAGTGGTACGGGCCAAAGGGAGTGGTACATTGGGAGGTCCTGCAGGCTGGGGGTACATTGGAGTGCAAGCATTTATCAGAGAATGTGACACCAGCTGCTCCCTCCCAGCTCTTAGTCCCCAGGGCTGGCTGGGTTCAGCTCCCCGCTCTGGGTGTTGTGACCTCTGGGGTCGCAGTGCTGCTCAGGTTTGGCCTGGCCAGGCCAAGTTTGTGTAAGTGGAATTGTGACCTGGTGCTTGGGGTTGCAGGACCACTCACTCCAATTTGGCCCAGCTGTCCCCATGTCGTCATGATGGAGGGGTGGCTGGGGCAGACCGGAGTGGCACCGAGACCCCATGCACCAGGTCACAATGTCCAGAGTGGGGAACTGAGCCCAGCCTGCCCCACAAAGTTTTGATACATTCTAGCGATCCCATCTTGGGTCGCGCTTCACAGAGTGAGAAACCCTGCTCTAGTTCAACCCCTACTTCTACAGCCAGCAGGTCTGCCCCAGCTGTTTTTCTATAACCATTTCGCTGCATTACATCTGATTCCTGGCTCGCTCCTATCTTTCCTTCCTCCCATTTTCATTCGCGGCGCTGCTGAAATTATAACGAGGTGAAATTCAGCACAAGGAAAGAACAGAATGTTCTGACAGCTGTTCAGTGGCATGTGCGGAAAGAGCTCCTGGTCTGGATCCAGCTCCTAAATGACAGGTGTCCACATCGCAAAACCCATCGCTGCAACGGACAGTAACTGCCCCTCTGCGCAGGTCAGTCCACAATATTCCAATACCGGGTTTTGGCTCCTTTCTCTGAAGCAAGTAGGACTGGCCATTGCCAGAGGATAAGTCTATGGGTATGTCTACACTACGAAATTAGGTCGAATTTATAGAAGCTGGTTTTATAGAAATCGGTTGTATACAGCCGATCGTGTGTGTCCCCACATAAAATGCTCTAAGTGCATGAAGTCGGCGAACCGCGTCCACAGTACCGAGGCTAGCGTCGACTTCCGGAGCATTGCACTGTGGGTAGCTATCCCACAGTTCCTGCAGTCTCTGCCACCCATTGGAATTCTGGGTTGAGATCCCAATGCCTGATGATGCAAAACAGTGTCGCGGGGGGTTCTGGGTACAAGTCGTCAGGCCCCTCCCCCTCCGTCAGAGCAACGGCAGACAATCGATTCGCGCCTTTTTACCTGGGCTACCTGTGCAGACAACATACCACGCCAAGCATGGAGCCCGCTCAGCTCAGCTGAGCTCACTGTCACCATATGGCATCTGGGTGCTGGCAGACGTGGTACTGCATTGCTACACAGCAGCAGCTAATTGCCTTTTGGCAGTAGATGGTGTATTACGACTGGTATCCGTCGTCGTCGTACTCCAGTTCAAACATAGGCACCTGGGCAGACATGCTTTGTCTCCTGGAGACTCAGTCCTGCCGGCAGTCCTATTGAACTGTCTTGACGACGATGGCTAGCAGTCGTAGTACAGTATCTTCTGCCAAGCACCCAGAAGATGCCCATGGCTATCAGTCATGCTGCACCGTCTGCTGCCAGCTTAAGATGTAAAAAATGATGGACCAGATTTGTCTGTATTCATTT